CTAACACATATTAATGGGAGAGAAGAAACAGGTATTCCTTCAGAACTTTAATGTCATCAAAGGGGATTAAATAAAATAAGGGAAAAAAAAGAAGAAAAAAAAAGGACCCAAGGTGTATTAGTTCTGTTTAAAGGCTTAAAAGAGGCAAGGCAAAAGAAACACATTCACATAGAAAGGAAGGAGATAAACTTGCTATTTCTCATAAATGGAGTATGAGAAGAAGAGTATGCAAAAATATGCAGGAATGAGTCGGAAACAATGTATATCACATGAACCTCATTCTTTTCTGAGATGGACGGAGGGTAGAACAGAACACATACACGCATAGCAGTATTGTGCAGGAAAGAAGATGCATTAATCAGGTAAGCTAAGGCCGGTCATATCCAAGGATCAGCTTTGTCTTCTTTTAGGTAAAACTTCCCAATGTTTCAGATGGGAGAGAAGTTATGGAAATGCTGGTCCTGCTACAAAAAGGATAGGATAGGGTACTGGTGGGGAGGGGGCAGCGCAGCGCTGTCAGGGTGTGTGTGTGTGTGTGTGTGTGAGACTGTCCATTAATTGAGGAGCAGATGAACAAATGTAATGGCCAATTACTGTGCTATAAAAAATGTAGGAGACAATTTCAAAGAATCATGGGTAGCATGATGCAGAATGAAGTAAGCAGAACCAGGAAAACAAATTATACAGGACAGCCACAGTGTAAAGAAAAAGAATTTTTGAAAGACTTGAAAAGTCTGATCAAAGTAGTGACCAAGCATGTCTCCCACTTATCTCTCTAACACAGAAGCAGAAAACAACTTAAATTTCTAGACATAGCAAATATAACTCTATCTCACTTGACTATGCTTTTTTGTTACATAGGTACTTCTTCTCCCCTCTACCCTGCTTTCTCTTGGTTTTCAAGTTAAGAGGGCCACTGAAGTTTTTTTTTTAAATACACAGAAAAGAACACAAGGAAGTTTAGAACGAAGTAGAGAAAAATAGAACAGTTCTGGGGAAAAAAATATAGCATTTACTATCTACTTGTAAAAAGCAAGCAGTGTGGAATGGAGCTTCACAGTTTCATAGAGAATTCTTTTTTGTGTTCTGCTGTGTGATTGGAAATGTTCCCTTTTAGTTTAGATTCAGATTAAAATACAAAAAACTCCCCAGAACTTTAGTGGGAAGGGAGTTGGTACAAATGCCTTCTTATCTACTGTTGTCATGCCTACATGTCCCACCAGCACTTCAAACTCTTGACTGCTCCCCACGAACCTCTTCCTTCTTTTGATTTCTCTATTTCTTTGAGCGATAATACTATACATCTAAATGCCCAAGTTCAATAATGGGTTATTGTCTATCACAGCCTCCTTCTTCCTCACCAATCTTATCTATTCAACCAATCCCTTTTGCTTCCTCCTCCATATTCTCTCTCACATCAGTTTTGATTTTCCGTTGCCACCACTTAAACATAAGCCTTAATTCCTGCCTTTCTTTTAGAAAAGCCTGGGAAGACATGCAAACTGATGCAAAGTGAAGTAAGCAGAATCAGAACACTGCACAGAGAACCAGTAACATTATAATGATGGTCAACTATGAAAGACTGATCAAAACAATGATCCAAGACAATTCCAAAAGAGTCATGATGAAAAATGCTATTCACCTCCGCAGAGAAAATTAATAAACTGAGTGCAGATAGAAGAATATTGTTTTTCATATTCGTTATTTTTTGCCTCCACTCACCCCTGACATGGCTAATACAGAAATGTTTTGAATGACTTTACAGGTATAATGGTTATTATAGTGCTTGCCTCCTCAATGGGGGGAAGGAAGGGAGAGAATATGGAACTCAAAAAAAAAAAAAAGAATGCTATACATAAATAAATACTCCTTCATTCTTCCTACCTCCTCTGCTTGTCATCCTTTCCTCTAGTTTTTGTTCTTATTCTTTTTTCATTCTTCCAATTTACATAATTTAATTCTTTCTCTCTCTTTTCTTTCTCCATTAGTTGATTAAAATCCTCCCTTCCTCTTCTCTCCTTTAACTTGTTAGGTTTTTAAATATTCTGTGTCTTTTTCTAAAAAGGATTTCTTAACTTTGTTATCTTCATTAGTTCTCTTTTCTGTCTATTCTAAATTTTTATTTTTTCATTCATGGTCCTTATAAATCTTTATTTCTTCTTTAGTCTGTGTTCTTCATAGAATTAAAGCTTTTTCTCTTTTGCTTCTTTGGAAAGATTTGCTAAGGCAGATTCAAGTTTTTCAATTCTGTCAATTATTTCTCCTTTATATGCCACACATTCTGCTTTGAAGATTTTTATTTTTCTCTTGTACTATTCGGGAACATCCTGCAGTTACTCCATACTCTCTTGGGAATCCAAAGTTTTGCTGCCTCATCACGTGTTGCTTCATATTCCTTTGCCTTGTTATATTTACTCAGAGATTTCTAGGTTTGTCTGGAGGCCATCTTCCCTTCTGTTATTAATAGCTAACCTGTTGATTTGTCTAATTGCACTCAACTTTTTAAACAGAATTCTCTTCTGGAATCTTTGGTAACTTCAGTCTTTTTTCTTTTATTCCCCTATCATTCAGTTTCTGATTCCTTTTCTTTTGATGGCAGATCCCTTGAATGTTAGAACTCAAAGGTGTCTCTGCCTCTTCCCACACCACACCAGGGAAATCACTTTTCACTAGCCTCTCAGTCCCTACACCAAGTGACTTCAGTGAGAACAGAATTAGTTCCAGCTAGATTCTAGTCTCCTTTCCTTCTGGCCTGGTGGAGCACTCCAAACACTGGCACCCTTCCCCAGTTCTCTCTGTTCTTTAGTTCAAGGGCTAACGATGCCCCAGGCTGACCAAACTTCTGATTTCCTAGACCTCCACCTCCTCTGTGGTCACTAATGACCAGTCTCCCACAATGCTATATTGCCACAGGATGTCTAATCTGGAAGTGGGTCTCAGTGCCACTCGGGAAAAGCCAATTTCATCCCTCAGGGAGGGGAGCATCAGCAGGGCCTGGTGCTCCTCTTGGGAAGGATGAGATGCTGGTGAATTCCCTTGGGGCTCAGAGCTCTGAAAGAAGCTGCCCCAAAACATTTTCATAGTGATTGATCTTTCTTATGCACAGACTTTCACTGCTCTACTTGAATCCTTCAATAGTTTTCCTATTGTACAATAAGCTTCTAGGTCTGTTAGCCTGTCCTTGAATGCCACCCCAGCTTGGGGCTGCCCTATTTTTCTGGCCTTTCCATATTCTGGACTATTGTGTGCATTTGGACCTATTTTGCTTTTTCTCATCTTATTCCTTCTTCCTAGAATGAATGCCCTGCTCTCCCACACACAAGCACTGCTCTGCTATGGCAAGTTCTGGCTGAAATGCCATTTTCTTCATAAAGCCTCTCTCGATAAATGCCCCTGCACGACTACATTTTACATAGCATTTCCCTTGCTCTTCTCTTATGCATGTATCTTATGTTATCTAGTTATTGATGTTTACATAAACTACCAGAGTGAAAACTCCATGTAGGACAAGGGACTATCCCTCCTTCAATCCATGGATTTCTGGAAGTGCCATAGGGAAGGGGCTGTGCATACAATGGGCTGCTAATAAAATGCCTTTTCATTTTAGTTAAGATGATTGGTTAACAACCAAGATGGGTCTTACCCAATTTGAGTTCCTTGTCTTAATTACCTAAAACTATGTACAACTCAACATACAAATTAGCCACAGAGACTCACAAATTCTATTTCAAAGACAGTTAATAAAACACTTCCTTTCAGTGACTGTGACCTCAAAGCATGAAAACTCCCTTTCATTTCTTCTTCCCTTTCTCAGGCAGCTCTGCCATTTGGCAGCAGGTATAGAAGGAGTTACATACAATTTCTTCTCAAATAGCAGGAAACACAAGCTATGTATTTTATAATTTTAAGGTCAAGTTCAATGGCAATGCAGCCATTTCATAGAAACTTTCTTCCAAGTTGTAATTTCTTGTGGAAGTATCCCAATATTTGTAGGGTTCAAAATTTTCTATCAATATCAACTGACTTCACCAGACCTGTGAAAATGAGGGAACAGTAATACTGGATGACATGCTATGGCTAAAGCATTGGGAGAATATGCATTCCAAATTGAATTCAGTTCTGAATCGTGAAATCTTTGCTCATGATTTCCCCTTTCTCCCTGCTAACCTAAAAATGTTGCTTTCTTCCCATCCATACATAAAAATAATCAACTGTGGGGTGAGAAAGGGACAAACATACATATGCCAAAATCTGTCACAGACTATGATAAAAGAGAATAGAACACAAAATCTATGTACACTGTTTATTTTATCTGGGAGTCCTAACTTCTGTATCAACATTACTCAGTCTAATTGTCTGAGAAGCCATCACAAATTGAGGCTGGCACTACCTTGAATTCACTAGCACTAGTCTGATATTGATATTTATATCATAAGGCTGTTTAAAAACGCAAATGAAACTAAGTTATAACATGGGAGAAGCCATGCAGGCTCTCTAATTTGGTCTCTTTCTCAGTGACCCAGAAAAAGTTACTCCTGTTGGCTCCAAGGCTGTACAGACTGTAAGATGTCAGAAATCATTCTTTCTGAACTTGCAGCTTCATTTTTGCTTATGGTTTCAAATATTCAAAGCTTTCACAGTTATCAATGATATTTAACTGATGGTCCTCCTTAAAAGCCCTGCCATTCATTGAGGGCTGTAAATGTGGTAATATTGTCACTCACATTCATATAATTTTCTAGCAAATGGGACACAAAGTACAGCTTCAACACTTACAAAGACAGAATGCTTTCTGTTCAGAAGAGATAAAAATCTAAGCTAAGCCCAGTGTGAACCATGCTAGTTCACTCAAATTGAAAAATCCATCAAAGCCAGTGACCACTCCTCTATGCCAATTCTTTTCACAAAACAAATGTAAAATCAACCAACTCTATTTACAGCAGGACTGGGAAATAATCTCTTGAAATGACATGCCTAAATTATTGTAATTGGTACTTTACCTGAGGACAGAGGGCTTCCAATTGGCTTGCTGACATTCGAACCAGCTTCACACCTTCTTCATTGTTTGAAATAGAACAGGCTAAGTTAGCCACCTAAATGAGGAAAGGGGGGAAAAAAAAGAAATACTTATTTTATTGCTTTGAGAAAAAAACAACAATATTTTCCAAGCCCACATTATTGCTTACCAAGAAAATCTGAATAGTCTAGACCTCAGGAAATATCCTACCAACATGGTTTAACCTTCATTAGCTGCGAACATGACAACACATAGGTACACAAATTCCTTCTGACTAGTGCAAAGAAAATTAGGTTTAACATTGATTATTAGTTGTTATTCCTACATACAGTTTTTAAACTATTTTCCTATTTGAAGACCAACTGAAAATGATCAGAGCTCAAAGTATGTCTCAATATCATTTAACTTTAGCCAGTTTTTTTTCAAAAAACATTTTTAATAATTTTGCTGATCTTCTAGGTGAAAGGGGAGCGAAATAAAAATAAAACCATCTTTTTCCTCCATGAGACATCACATGGCCTGTACCTATAAGACTAGAAGACAGGATATCTACAGAGTGTAGTAATTATTTAACATACTTGGTTGCTTGAGGTTTTAATGCCCAATTTATTAAAATGTTTAAAACCACTGATACTTAACTGGTAGCTCTATTTAAAGGCAGTTAGCTACTATCTGATCTGTTTTCATGTGAAGTTATCATTTAACAAAATCTTGAAAGCATATCATAACAGGGAAAAATAGATCTTTGCCCAGTTCAGTGTGCACAACTCTAAGACAAAATACAATGTGGAAATTTAACTTGAAAGACATTTCCATTTCCCCTTCAAATACTCTCAGGGTGGACAATGTCAGATGATCTTATACTTGTACAGTTGTGGAACCTCATGGAATCTTATAGTTGTGGAATCCAAGCAAAAGTTCCCTAATAGATGTCACTTAAAATTCTACAAGGATCAGACCTAGAAGGAACATTAGACAATATCTAGACTACACTACTCATTTTCCAAAAGAGAAGTCTGGTGACTTGTTAAGTGAGTGGGGCTGAACCAGTTGAAACTACAGTGGGGGCATGTTTAAGAAAATACAGTACAATGTGAATGTTAATTTCTTGGTTTCTAAGTGAACATGTGGCAGAATTCACTTCTATTTGAAGTGAACCACTGGTATAATGGATAGAGAGTGCTGGGTTCCTGCCTTAGCCACTAGCTCTGTGGACCTTGCAAGTCACTTATGATTGGAAATAAAAAATCCAGAATTTAGTGTTTGTTCTATGACTGACTGACAGTCTGACCTCCCCCCCAACCCTGCCTTGTACCTTCTTTTCTCCTTTTTCAAAATAGTAGCAAATGCTTTGAATTATTGGGGGGGAGGAGGCACGAGGCAATGGGGTGAAGTGACTTGCCCAGGGTCACACAGCTAGTAAGTGTCAAGTGTCTGAGCTCAGATTTGAACTCAGGTATTCCTGAATGAAGGCCAGTGCTCTATCCACTGTACCATCTAGCTGCCCCCAGCTTTGAATTAAGAGACATTACAGGTAATGTTTTATTTACCTTTTTTTCTCCCCTAATCTCAATTTTGTTTTTGAGCATTTACCAAGGACCAGATCCTTAGCAGTATTTTTATTATTCTTTCAATCCTTTGAATATGATTGGGCTTTATTCTCATTTTTACAGAAAAAGGAGGTCAAGCACTGAAAAGTACAGGTGCTTTTCTGCATGTACTGGTTAGGTCACATTCTTTTTGGTGATCATATATTGCATTGAGAAGATACTGTAATCTTCCCAAGCTTGAAACAATAAGCATACCACCAACCACAAACAAATCAACATCTCCATCAAACGCCTTTTCCCTTTGGCTCTGTGCTCAATCACCATCCATTACAATTGGCAAAAGCATTTGGCAACAATTCACCTCTCTGTTTTGAATACTAGGTAATTTTGCTTTTAAATTTTTTCTTGTTCAAAATATGACAGACTTCAACATCACTATGAAGACAGAGATCAGGAAAGCAATTATTAGTTATGTTCAATTCTCCTATGGTCTAAATAGGTTTCATATTAGCTTTGACAAATTTTGTGAATGGAAAAGGTATAAACGTAAAAAAATGACTTTTGCTCTCTATGACCCAATACACCTGGTGCTTGAAAATGAAAGATAACCAAGCTCAATGTGTTTTACAGAGAAAAGCACTGTAATGCAAGGCTTCAACTTCCCCAAGGACACCTTATTTACTTTAAGAGAAATTCTTTATCCTGCAGCTCAAGAAAATAGAGGCTCAATTTTGCTAACTGCAAAGTTTCCTGCCTAAAGTATCATGTAGATAGAGGCACTGAAAGAATAACTAAGAAATCATGATTGTAGTTTGGAGAAGGTCACTGTTTAATTCATATTTTGACTTTCACAAATTATAAATGCACTGTAATCTGAAGGTTATAATAAGGATGATGCAACCAACAGCTCAGATACACATTTCAAACCAACAGTCATAGTTATTAAACATTAAATAATAAAGATTATGTCAATGTATAGTTGGAGGAACATTTAATTTGGAATATGAGGACCTGGGTTGAAGCCCAGCTCTGCTGCTTGCTACCCTGAGGGATCTTAGGCAAGCCACTTAATTTCTCAAACTATATATGGTGTCCCAAAAGTCTTAGTGCAGTTTAAAGTGTTATAGCTTAAACAGTATAACATGGGGCTGGGTCTAGATGAGACCTAAGATAATTTAATGGCAGATAAAAAATCCAAAAAACACCCAGTTTCACCTGGCTCTTTTTTCTTTTTTTTTTTTTAAATTCACAAAAAAGAGACAAAATGTCTCTTTAGAATAAGGGAGGCATTTTAATAGAGAATGCTCTCAGGGCCAGACTAAATAATAGTCTGGTCTTATATAAACGCCATTTCCCCTATTTTGTTTTCTCATTTTAAAAGGATTTTGCGGAGAGCAAAATGAGAGACAGCAAGTACATTTTAGTTATTGAATTGCTCAATGCCAAAAGTGGCCAAAGAAAATGAGATGACTGAAAAGTACACATGGGTGTATTATTGATAAAGAAGTTAATATTGATGGAAAATTCTTCCATTTTAGTCTACCCTAAGTTGAAGCTCAGCTTGAAAAATTAACTTGATATGAATTAAACAGTAACATGTAAAAGGTGTTATTGTTATGTTGAAGACAATCCATACAATTAGAATATTTTATAAAAAGAGTAAGCAAAAGGCCCAGAAGTGTTTCACTTAAGTATGAGAACTGTTATTGAAAAGGAGTCTTCTGCAAGCATTTAAAATACCTTACCAACAAGCAAAATTGGTCAAAAAAAAAAAAAGTTCCAAAATCTTTGGATCAGTACATTCTTTCATATGGAGTTGGTTCATTTTGCTCATATGAGGTAGTCAAAATTCTGAGTCCTTGGGCAAATATTACAATGACTAAATAAATGATATACAAGCTGAAAAAGAGATCTCACTGGGGCAGCTAGGTGGTGCTAGATGGAGTTCTGGCCTCTGAGTTAGGAGTAATGGAGTTCAAATCCAGCCTCAGACACTTGACACTTACTAGCTGTGTGACCCTGGGCAAGTCACTTACCCCTGACTGCCTCACCAAAAAAGCAAAAAAAGAAAAGGAAAAAAAAAACCCCACCGCAAATAATTCTTTGTTTGATGTGAATTCAAAACAAAACAAAACAAAACTTACTAACAGTAATTCAGGTAGACCATATAGCAAAGCTGCATCTAAGAGGACATGTGTGAACCAAAGAAACAATTTCTAATCTGAGGGTCATAAGTCAGGATGTTAGTTCTGTAACCTACAGGCAAGGTACAGCTTCTAAAATCTGATCTTATCATGCTATCATAGCCACAAGTATTGTTAAAGCAACTTCTGTTGTTGTTCAGTTGTGTCTGACTCTTTATGACCCCATTTGGGGTTTTCTTGGCAAAAACACCAGAGAGGTTTGCTATTTCCTTCTCCAGTTCGTTTGACATAGGAAGAAACTGAGGCAAGCAAACAGGGTTAAGTGACTCACCCAGGGTCACACAACTAGTAAGGTTCTGGGGCCAGGTTTGAATTCAAGAAGATAAGTCTTCCTGACTCCAGACCTGGCACTCTATCCACTGAGCCACCTAGCTGCCCAAAGCAACTTTATATGGTACTGAAAAATAAAGTACATTTTATAGTACCCCCCCCCCAAAAAGAAACAAGGTAAGTGCCTTCAACTGAGGAAATGGTTGAAAAACTATGATATACAAATGTACTGGAATATTATTATGGAAAATAGAAGATATTGAATATGAGAAATTCAGAACATTTTGTCCAAGACTTGTATGAAATGATTTTGAGTGAAGAATCACATAATGAATAACTATGACAATATAAATGAATGCAACACTAAAAGTCAACAGGATTCAAATAAAATGCAATGAGCAATATTGATTCCAAGATGGCTGATGTTGAAAGCTACTTCCTTTCTCTCAGTTGACGTGGTGGACTACAAGTGGTAGATGTTATATACTGTGTTAAGTAATTGTCATTGGATAGCTTTGTTTAACTATTGATATTCATATATATATATATATATATATATATATATATATATATATATATATATGGAAGACACTATGGGGGCAGGATTGGAAAGTGATTACTATAGAAATTATTTAAATTTAGATCTAAATTTCAAAATGGTATGTAAATAAATACATCATAAAGGAACATGATTTCCCTATTTCATTTGTTCTATGAAAAAAAGTGGTAGTTTTTTTTTAATTAAAGATATGCATAAGACTTCCAAAAACTAAGTTGGTAAGAGCCAACACATCTGCTCAGATTTTATTTTGGTAATGCATCAAAACGTTTATGAAAGAATAGCAAGCTCTTTGCTCAGCTCTCATTTCAAAAAAGTTGGTGGCACAGATAACAATAACAAAGCTCTACGGCTTCAAGAACTTTTTTTCATGCTGGACACACATTTTGAATCCTTTGGGTGGACAGCAGCATGGTACAACAGAAACTCTTGAGGGACTTGGCATCAGAGGACCTGAGTGTTTAGCTTCATTTTTGTTCTCAACAGTACGTTTTTCCAGTAGCCAATGAATTACACCATTGCACATAAGAATAAAACGTTTTAGGATTACTCTGATTTTAAGAATCTTACTTAATGAAGACTTGAAGGTAAGGGAGATTCTTCTCAATGAGTCAAACACACAGCAAAGTAAAATGTCAGGTTTACAAGATTATCTTCTCAGCCCCTATATGTCTACTTCAAAGACAGCATGCCCAAAATTGGTGTAAAAGCCCAAAGGTGATTTTATTAAACAAAATTTCATTATGGATGTTGTGAATTTGCCACTGATTTTCAAAATGAAAATATGAAAAAAAAATCTACTTGAGGAAAAGAATACAGTCCTCTAGTATGAGGGGATGGCCATAATTCATTGGAAAGAAAGAGAAGATTCGTTTCCATAGGGAAGACACTCCCGTCTATACACACACTCTCTCTCTATTTATATTTTATTTATCTGAAAAAGGTAATTTCCTCGAGTCCTAGTGACTAAGGTATCTTCTCTCCTCTCCCCACCCATTCAGGGAAGGATGAAGGACCAGCCCAGTACTGAACAGATAATGAATTGATTCTGTTTTATTATTTTTTCTTTCATTTCAACTGAATTCCACATCCATTTATTAAAAACCTCGAAAGTACAAGTGGTGGCCAATACAAAGAAAAAAAAATCAAAACTGTTCCTTTTCTCTAGAAGCTAACATTCTATTGGATAGATACAACATATATACAGCAAAGTAAAAACAAGCTAATTTGAAGATACAGAAAACTCAGAAGTACTGAAAACTCCTGGTAGGAGGTAGCAGCTAAGACTTGAAGGAAGCTAGGGATTTCTAAGAGGTTGCTGGAAAAAGGAAGTGATTTGAAATATGGAGTACAACCTGTTTGGAAGGCATGGAGGAAGGAGATGGAATAATGAGTCTGCTAAAGAGTGAGTAAGCTTGAACAAAGAACATGTGAAGGGGACAACTAGGAAGTAAGCCTAGTTAAGTGCAGGTAGGAGGAATCAGATTCTTTCAAGACCAAGCCAAAAGATCTGTATTTTCTTACACAAGCAACAGAGAGTCATTGAAATTTTTTTAATAAGATGGAAGTGGATGACCAAATGTCATAAAGAAAATATTATATAAGCCAGTTTTGTTGGAGTAGAGAATGCATAAAAGGGAATAAGGTATGAAGAATTTTAAATGCTAAGCATAAGACTTTCTATTTTATCCTAGAAGCCAAAGAGAGTGTCTAGAGATTCCTCAGCAGGAGACTAAGAAGCTCAGGTCATGGTCTAGAAATACCAATTTGTCACCTCTGTGGAGAACGGATCAGAGAGGAAAATGACTGGATATAAGGAGACCAAATAGGAGACTACTATGATAGTAGCACTAAGAGTTGATGAAGACTTAAATTGGCATAGTGGTTATCATAATAAAGAAAAGGAGACTGAAGGAGACTCCACAAGACTTGGAGACGCACAAGCAGCCACAACTAGATGGAAGGCAAAACAGGGCAGAGGACAAGAGGACAAGGGTGCACATCTGAGTAATCAGGGGGATGGTGGTATGCTCAAGAGAAATAAGCTAAGTCTCTATCTCTGTGCAATTTTTATATCCAATTGGGTAGGGCCTTGTGCAACTATTCCATGCCTCTACATTACTGGGAATATCCTGGACAAAATAAAATATGCTACCTTAACTAAAAGTTATCATCCTTGAATTTTGCATGGCATGTAGAGAATTGTCAATTATTTCCTTGAAATCTAGGTTGTAATTGAGGGCCCTCAAATGGAAACCTGCTGTAATAAATATAACACGAACATGAAAAAGGAAGGAGATTCAGGGAAGTAAGTGTAGACAAAGGCAGACCAGCAGCGCAACATTGAAGCATTTCACCTTTACTCAAAATAAACTTCTTACTAATTCAAAGCATCACAGAACTTAACCAGAAGAAAAAGGTATTGCCTAGAGACGTAATATTGAGGCTTGTATAGCATTTTGAAAAGTCATTCCCTTTTCATGCACAAATGCAATTATATACCCAAGTATCTATATTACCACTGATATGATTTAACTGTTTGCAAAATGGTAGGACATAGCCTGTGGTTCTGTCTCACACAGTAAAAGGCGATGTTTAAGGCATACCAAATAGAGTGTGGAGGAGGGGAGAAGTGAGAAAAGGGGCCGAAATGAGCTGTGAGGGGAAACAAGAAACATAAGATAGCAAAACTAGTCATAACCAAAAACATTTGGTGGTGAAATTTAGGATGGAGAAATAAGCACAAACACAGAAAAACATATCCAAGTGACATATATTGATTTGATCAACTATGTTGTAAAGCAAAACAAAACCCACTATTTGAGGGTGACAAGCACAGAAAGCGCTGTTTCTGTTACTCAAATGCAGACCTGCTACTCCCTGAAACTTAATCCAAGCACCAGGCCATTTTGCCTAATGACACATTATGGAACTAAAAGTGCTTTATCTACTGCATTAGGCATTACTATTTCCAGTGTATGAGGAATTAGTGAGCACTATGGCTGTGCAATCAGTCTCTGTGTACTTCTGCTTCATAAAGCCCTGTGTCACATGACCACTGCCACATAAGAGAAGCATTACTGAAGTATTCTTAAGGAGGGACAGTGGACTGTTTTGGCCCTTCTTCAGAGCAATGACTGGGTATATAATGGACCTTTATAAATATTTGTTGTTTAATTGATATTTAGCATTAACTGCTAAAATCATTCATTTGAATAGAGCATTGACTTATGTATTTAGTACACAATGAATTCTGGTCAGCCTGATAATGTTCTTGGAAGTCAGGTTTAAAATTAATAATGTAATTGTTAATGTTTCCCACTAAATATTTTCACACTTTAAATCTAGTTGAACATGTTACTATCTAGTCTAATAATATGATTAGGGATCTAAAAGTACAAGACACATATTCTAGAGCATTTGCTATCCGTGCATATATACATATTGTCCTATGAAATATCAGTTTTTACCTTTTGTGATACATTAATACTACTACAAAAATACAACATGAATAAACAAACTATTTCCTTAAAATACAAAAAATTTCTCTCTCTTGCTCTCTCCCCCTAATCCCCCATTAGGGATCCATCCTTTATTATCATATCTTCATATAAACTGCTATTATTATAGAATTACAGAATATTAGAGCAAAGATCACAGTGTCAACTTATAACTGGAAGAGACCTCAGTGGTCTTCTAATCCTTAGTCTAATTTAATAGACAGAGAAATGGGAGAAAGTATTTGCCCAATAACAAAATTATACTATATGATCTCCAATGCTTGTAGGTAAGAAATACTGAGGTTAAGATACATATTTACTTACTAGCTACTATACTATGTATTTTTGAGAGTGTGTTATTTCTATGCATTCTTCTGCATCACTGCTCAGTTCAGACGGTATGCTTTTAAGACAGAAACCATTTATATTTACACATGTACAAACTTAATAAACACTATTTGACAACATTTGTGATGCATGATGAATATTAAATTACAATTAAAGATACTCTACTGTCTTACACAAAATTACACACCAAGTAACCAACCCCATTTCAAACCCCATCAGTTTTCCTTTCCCCTGGGAAAAAAAAGCATGTTGATGAAATAGCATGTGGGAAAAACATGGCTTACTTACCTCGATTAGTTTGTTAGCATGCTCACGGAAAACTTGAGCATACTCTTTAACTTCTTTCTCATTTCCATTCTTTGCGGCCTCGATCAATACCAAAAGTGGCACGTTAGTTTCCAAGAATGAATCTGAAACATGGTCCATGACAGCTTTCCGGAGCTAAAAATTAAATTTCAAAAATTAAATTTTATTTCTGTCAGAAACTAGACTGACTTTTTCTTAAAGTTTCCATCTAATGGAAACATAAAGTAGGCTTGATTATACTAAAGAAAACTGAGGTTGCTTCTTTAAATAGGGGTTTAAAACACTACTACTAAGGGCAGAATTTCAAAATTAACACAGTGCAATCAACTATAGCAGTAAAAATCCATTTTAGAACAAATATAAATATTGTATTTGAATGATAACATTTGGCAAGCCATTCCAACTTCCCAAGGCCATATCTTTTCCTTTGATGGTGCCAAACTTCTGGGGTAATGTCAAAGAGTATAAGCACAATGTTACACAAGGATGAACGTTCATTAGATTGTGAGCTCCATAAGGGCAGGCTTAATAAATGTTTTTTAGATAGTCCTTAAGAAAGGAAGAAGATAACTAAGGCTTTGTTATTTAACTTTGGTGACAGTTAACAAAAGTGAACAACAAATGAAAATTGGCAATTTTTCCAGTTTACGCAAACAGGACTTCCATACTGAAATGCTACTTTTTATTATATTCTCGGACACAGCTTCATTAGGTGGAAATGGAAAAGATTTAGTGATTGTCTTTTTAAACTTGCTTTCTAGAGTTTTACGCAATAGAATGGCACTCCAACCAGTATGCAAAGTTATTACTATTATCGTTCCACAATGGAGACAATCTGTATTACTTGGCATAAAATCATTAGAAGGTAGTATCTAGTCTAATCTAGTCTATCTAAGATCACCATGAAAAAATTGAATAAGTTAAATTTTATCAAAATGTATCATTCCAAAACAGCATATCATATTTATGTTAATTTTTAACATAAAAGAGCCAACTTTTTGATCAAATGCTAAAGGAAAAGAAGCAACTAATCTCTCTGCCATAAATGAATTTACATTTAAGAGATTCTTCAGGGTCCTCTCACGTGCCATTAAGTTACTTTAAATGAATTTTGTTACCGCATTTGAAGTTGCTTCTTTTTCACATTGCAGCAAATTTTCTGTTAGTCCCAGTGTGACAGAATTAGCCTGGATCCTCATGGGGTTTGATTAGTCACTTAGAAACTCATTAGTGAAAAATGGTTACAAAAGGTTTTTGTGGAGGACTAAAGGGTACTAGAAAATTACTGAATAGTTCTTGGGTGTGTGTGCACGCATGTGTGTGCGTGTGTGTGTGTGTGTGTGTGTGTGGCTCGTTATGTAGACCAAAGTCTAGACATAACTGGGTAAGTTATCAAGAAAGCCAGCTGCTCTTTCCCCTTCAGTGGAGAAGAAATGAACTGACCCATGATCAAAGTGACTTAGATATCCCACAGATATCTGTGGTAACAGCTTGGAAAATCATGATAACAGCTTCGGTCCAATCTCTATCAATTCTGGGATCCAAGCAAGATTTAAACAAAGTATATACAATGAGGTATACTTTTTTTGAAATATTGGATTGGGGTTTTGGGGAAGAGGGGAGGGCAATGATATTTTCTGGACCAGAATGCGAGAAGCAGACCAATCACCCCAGGGATAGGGTAGCAGGTGGCAATACATTTGCACGTATATTTTGCCCCTCTGCAATAACATTTTCTACACCAAATTCAGAGAAATTTATTAACCCACCAGTCTCTGATTGATATCAACAGAAGTCACTTTTTATATTAAAATCCACACTTCCCCACTATAAAATTATAAAATTCAACATTTAAAAAATAAATCATTTAACACTAGGTTGAGCCAACAGAAGAAAATGTAACATCTTTCTCTAACATACCTGTCTTCGTAAATCCCTGGTCTTTTTTGTCATTTTGTCTATTGCAGAATTAAGGGCATCACTTCTTTCTTTACGTCCAGCCTGTAAAAGAAAAAATACCCTATTACATACTTTTGCATTTTACAAAGAATGATGATATTAAAGAGCCAATGGTGACAGAAACACAAAGTTGAAGAAATAATACAGTGTTTTCTAAATTAAAACTGGAAAAATTAGGGGAAAAGTTCACAGCAAACATCTAGATCTGACATTTCCTTAAGCAGAACATCAGCTGATAATCGGATATCATGCAGTTTTGTGAAAATATGAAATGACAAAAGATTTTGCTCAAGACTTTGCTTTAAAGGTCCAATCACACTACCATCATTAATGAACCAACTGTCTTGGTCCTACAAATAAGAAAAAGGTTAGAGCTAATTTTGATGAACTCCAAGATCTTAAGTTTTTCAAGATATGACAGATGGCATTTGGCACTGAAACAATGAATTTAAACATAAGGAGTGCCACGAGTCAGCCAGGCCGTTAACATATAGTATAGTATGCAGTTAGAATATAAAAGCTTTGTAATACCACTTTGATCATGTTTTTAAAGTTCAAGACTAAGCTTAATGTAATTGTACTACAGAGAGAAGAACACATTAGCCATGTTAAATAGAAGGTATGTAAATCATTATTTCTCCAGAGGATAAGCTGATTTGAGCTTTGGCCAGGTATTATTCCAAGCAGAATAAAGACTTGGATTTCAAAATGTAGATGGAAGGAATGGGACAAAAGACATTAATAGCTAATAATTGAGGAAAAAAAATCAATTAAGACATTAAATATATTAGTCAATAAAACAAAGAAGTAAAAATATCATTACCATAAAATACCATTGCCTCCCAGTTTAGAAATTTTGCTTATCTTTTAAAATTAACAAAATTTCACAGAATATTCTAAATATTAATTTATCATTACCAGTACCCAATTTCCAATTTATCAAATTAAAAAAATAAAAGGCAAATTCTGCAATACATATCTACATAGTTCAGCAAAACAATTCTCACATTAGTTATGTCTGAAAACATGTCTCTTTCTGCATCAAAAGTTCATCACTTCTCTGTCATGAAGTAAATATTTTGTTTCATTTTAATTCTTTTGGACTAGTGGTTTGACACTGTGCAGGTCAGAGCTCTAAAGTCTTTCAAACTTGTTTTTCTCTATATGCACATTACATAAAATGTTCTCCTAACTTGGATATCTATCAGTTTATAAAGGTCTTCCAACTTTCCTCTGAAAATTTCTATTTTATAACTTCTCATGGCATAATAATATTACATTATTTTCATATAACACAATTTGTTTAGCCATTCCTCAATTAGATAACCCCTTAATTTCCAATTTGCAGTTACTGGACCTGCTATAAATATTTTTTACATGCAGATCTTCTTTTTTTAGTTTCTTCAGGATAAAGGCCAAGAAGTGATATAGCTAGGTCAAAAGATACATAAGATATACTGAATATGGATTCAAACTGCATCACAGAATGATTGAACCGATTCATAGCTCCACCAAAAATGCACCTACACCTCCTCCAACACTGTCTCTTTTATCCACCTTGCCAGTCTGATTGATAGGTAGAAAGCAGAACCTGAGAGTTGCATTAATTTATTTTTTTATGATCGCTGATAGCTTTATAGCAAATATTTTCCCAAGTACCCATTTCCTTTCTGATTTTTAGATTACATTCAAATAAATACAGTGCATAAAATACCTGGAGGTCAACCTCCCAAAGTATAAAGAACACTTGGCTAGATATAATTACTAAGTGCTGCTTAAAGAAATAAAAAGCAACCTAAATAGCTAGAAGAATATTCAGTGCTCATGGCTAGGCTGTGCCAATGTAATATAAATGACAATGCTACCAAAATTAAATTATACTTTTAATGCAATATCAATAAAATTAACAAGGAAATACTTTATAAAACTTGATAAAATAACAAAATTCATATGGAAAAACAAAAGATCTAGAATATTAAGGGAAATGATGAAAAGGACAAAGGGAGAATAGCACTTCCAGACCTCAAACTATATTATAAAACAAGGAATCATCAAAACCTATCTGGTATTGGTTAAAGAACAGAGAGATAGATCAATGAAACAGGCTAGACAAGCAAAATTCAGAAACAAGAGAACTCAACAACCCACTGTTTGACAAAGTAGATAACATAAATTACCTAGGGGAAAACTCCCTACTGGATAAAAACTGCTGGGAAAACTAGAAAGCAGTCTGGCAGAAATCAGACTTAGACTAACACCTTACACCATACTTTACAATACATTTTAAATTGATGCCACCTTAATACTAAAGAAAAAAATTAGAAGAGAAACAGATTATATGCCTCTCTCTCAGCTATGTGTAAGAGATGCATTCTTAACCAAACAAGAGAAAAAGGCAATTACAAAAGATAACAAAGATAATTTTGATTATTACATGAAACAAAAACTTCTACATAGACAACATTAATACATCTAGGATACGAAAAGTAGTAGTTGATTGGGAAATCATCTTTTTATCAAATTTCAATTTCTCTGATAAGGGTTTGGTATCCAAGAGGAGAGGAAAGAAGGAGGGAGAAAGAAATATATATACATTATATATACCTGTGTCTGTCTGTCTATCGACCCAATCTATGATTAATAATCATTCTCCAACTGATAAACGGTCAAAGGATATGAACGAATAGTGCAAAGTATTCACAACCACTTGAAAAAATGCTCCAAATCAATAATAGTAAGAGAAATGCAAAAGAAAATAACCCTAAAGTTTTGCTAACCAATATGCAGACTGGCAAAAATAGCAGTTTTTTGTTTTTTTCTTAAGGGCTCCTTTTTGCCTCTAAGAAGAATGAAGAAGACAATCTTTAAAAGGGTCATGAGGAGCCCTTCAAATGTTATTTTCTCAAAGCAGACTCTGATTTCATATATACCTACTGTGTGACCATCAAACTTATCATGTTTATGTCCAAGTTTCTACTTCTGTAGAATGGACTTAACTTTTGCACACTATGTCTTTGCCAAATGGTTGTTGTGAAGAATGCACTTGTGGTTTGTAAACTGGACAATGAAACTTGTTCAGATAACTACAAAAATTTACTAAATCAAGTTAATGACTATTAGGAGCCTTCTATGTGCTAAAAATGTCACACGTATGAACCCACATGGGAAATTGAGACAATGCCCTTGCCTTCTAAAGAGATTATCATTTAAAGCATGTGTATTTCACTATATGCATTTCTAGATAGTAATGTTCCTCAATTTCATAAGGTTATTTCTTCCAACTGAAAATTTCTATCAAGAAATTCAAGCTATGAGGAAACAACCTAGGCATTTAACAACAATATTCCTGTGAATTACAGTCACATAACAAGACACACTTTAAGATGCAACCCACACCATGAATCTGTTAATTCCTGTCTTACTCAAACCACCCTAAAAATCAATTTGTCTTTCTTGTTACCATGGGAAATAGAGGTTTATGCCTCATTAATCAGGAGGGGGGCAATTCTGTAGCAGTTATTTACTGAAATTTTTATATTATATCAGATAGATTGCTTTTTAAATTGAAGTCTCATCACTTATAAAAATGAAGACCAAATGTCAAATTTGGGGTTTCAATTCATTTAATAAATTATCCTGCAACCAATACCACTTAAACTGATTAAGATGAAAGCCCAAAGGGTTTACGAAAGGAGGATGAAGTTTCTGTGAATGGATTGAACATAAAACTGTGATCGCTATATTATTATTTACTTGTTTTATGGGCCAAATTCAAGTTATTGAATATGTAACTTTTTAGAGATATTCTGCAATAAATAATTAGCATTCAAAGTAGCAAGGCCCATTCTATAACACACAAATGTGATCTTTTTAAAGAAAGGCAGATTTTGATTTGATATCTGGGGGAAAAAAGCTATTCAAAAGTAGACTGGGACTACTTTAGGAGGTAATAACCTTATCATTATTGAAGGCCTTCAAAGAATGGATCACTCCTTGTTACAGATGTCAACAAATTCCTGCTCAGGTACAGTCGTGCTTAGTAGTCACTCTTTTCCAAGTCAATTGGAAGTTTCATTCCTTTGATCAAGGAAACAGGAGGCATATTTGAAATGTAGACAAGCTCAGAAATTTCTCTTTATAGAGGAGTTATCTACAACTTGACGACTGGCACATCAATACCAAGCTTCTTCACAGGAATCAAATTGGGCTGGGAAACAAGAAATCATGTTCAATGTTCAATTCAGAATGCTAAGCCTCCAAAAATTTGTGATTACTAAGAGAAGTTTGGGGGAGTGGAGGGGACAAATTAAGTAGTGGCTAAAATCATTCTTATTAATTCACACAAAATAGTAATACAAAACAGATATCTGTTTAGTACGCCTATCCATCGCTGTATAGGTCAGGAGGGAAATGATGAAAAGTAGGACTAGCATAATTAGGAAAACATACATTGACTATAACTCTCATAATAAAAAGCAAAAACAAACAAAAACAAAACAAAAACTTTATAAGCATACAGATGGAAAAGAGGCCAGAAGAGGTGACAAAGCAAACTTGTTATTTTATCTAGGTTTATATTATAATGAAATGAATTTTTTAAAAGAAAGAAAAGAGCTAAGGCATAGTTACTTCCAAAGATTTTTTACAAACTAGCTGTTGTGATTTCACTGACACATGAAAACACAAAACAGCATGTAATTCATTTTTGAACTGTACAGTCCGTTTAGGGCAAAAAAAAACTTTGGAAATTCTGAGAAACGAAGAGGTTTACAATATGGCAAAGGATCTAAAGCTGAAAGGGAAAACACAGAACATCTATCCCTTCATTTGACAAAGGAATAAACTTAAGGTTGAAAGAGCAAGTATGTGAGTTGGGATTTGAACCTAAGCCTCCTAATAAGCAAGTCTAGCCCATTTTCCCTCATAAAGCTTACTGATGGGAGGTGGGTCTCAAACTAGGCCCAAAATTAATTACTGTCCCCAGCCCATCTCTGCTTTCACAGGATCATAGATTTAGGTCACCTAACTCCTTCAATTTTACA